CTGCGTACACACTACCCTCCCCAAACCCCATTAGTGGAATTTTACTGGGTTGTTGTTGTTGTTAATTAAAGGAGTTTGGAGATTCACTTTCCTTTTTATTTTACGAAATGGTCTTATTATTATTATTATTATTATTATTATTATTATTTTGCTTTGTACAATAAGAAACTTTGGCTAAAAGAGCAAATAGGGAAGCAAAGTTCCTTTTGTGCTTGGCAATGTCTAGAATTAGTAACATGTGTGTTTAAATTTAAAACAACCAAAGAAATAGGGATAGGTTGGTGTCGTTATGTGTTTGTTTGATCTAGGCTCGAGTACAACTTGAATATGCTAAATAAAGAGGCGGCGTCCATGCTTTGTAGGTTGACCTATGTGATCAGAGGATATATTGAAAAGACTGAATACATATGCAGCCCCTTAAGTAAATATTATTAAGGCTATGTTAATTAAAGGAGTTTGGAGATTCACTTTCCTTTTTATTTTACGAAGTGGTCTTTGTACAATAAGAAACTTTGGCTAAAAGAGCAAATAGGGAAGCAAAGTTCCTTTGGTGCTTGGCAATGTCTAGAATTAGTAACAAGTGTGTTTAAATTTAAAACAACCAAAGAAATAGGGATAGGTTGGTGTCGTTATGTGTTTGTTTGATCTAGGCTCGAGTACAACTTGAATATGCCAAATAAAGAGGCTTGTAGGTTGACCTATGTGATCAGAGGATATATTGAAAAGGCTGAATACATATGCAGCCCCTTAAGTAAATATTATTAAGGCAAGTACGAAGATGGTACTGCAAAAACAACTTTCCAACAGTACAGAAATCACCATATAGCAATTACGTACACCCATCTCAACAACAATAACAACTCAGTATAATCCCACACATGGGGTCTGGGGAGGATAGTATGTACGCAGACCTAACCCCTACCTTGGGAGTATGAGAGACTGTTTCCGAAAGACCCTCGGCACAAGGAGATGAAAAAGAGGCATGGAACAGTAACAACATAGGTCAGGAAGATAGTACTAACGACCTAAAATTCAGAAAAATAAATGGAAAAGGCAATATGAACAATGGAAAGGTACTAGGAAACCGGAGCATAAAAATAGTACAAACACAACAAGTACCACTATCAAACTAAAGCAAGACACTAACAAACTAGCCTAACACCCACAACGGAGTAGAAAAACGCTCAACTACCTCATACGACCCTAATGCTCGCCCTCCAAGCCTTCCTATCAAAGTACACCCATCTCAATGAATCTAAAAAGTCTAAAGTAGAGAAGTCTTCTACTGTCTCTACTTACACCATTGACATGGCAGATGCTGTGCTTTCTACTCAATATTTAGTGCGTGGAATTGCAATACGTCAAGCTCTACCAATGCTTTTGCCGGAATATACAAAATTTGCCGACAATAAACTTTCACAAGAAAAAGAAGTAAAAAAATAAAAAACCACTACTGCCAATTCAATTTTCAAACAAACCACAAAGCAACACCCCGGAACCGACCCCAACTCTTCATCTCAACAATGACTCATAGGACCACCAAGATTATAGCTCGTCAAATAGACTCCACCATCCAAGTATTGCCGGCGACATTTTCAGTTTCTTCTTTTTGCCATTTTTTTGCTTCCTCTTCTTTGTCTGGCCATGCTTTTACAGATGTTGGCCTTTTTTTCAAGCCAAATCTGATTTTTTGTTGTCACAACTGCTTTTCAAAAGAAAATGATCTGCTCCATGGATCTGGTTTTTGACAAGAAAGAACAAATGCAACAAAGTAAGAGATGAGTGATAACAAATCGGAAATAATGGAGCTTTACAGGAGATCTTTCTTTTCGGTCAACAATTATTTTCTTATAAAAAACCATTTTGGCTTTTTTGATGGCGTGTCGTTTTCTAATTGGTTTCATTTTCCACATCAACGGCGAGTAATATTCACGCACAGTAGTTTGTCAAGTATTGTCGAATGTGTTCAATAGAGAAAGTTTGGTTCGGGTTCAAGTGTTAAATAGGTATAATCCTTAGTTTAGAAACAATGAAAAATTGGGCAAGTTTAAGGGGCCGCATGTGTATTCAGCCTATTGACAACTTCTAGTTGATCATCATCCCCGTAAACCAATCCATATCAAGCTGTCTAAAATAGATTCATCATATCTATTTGTTTGTGTCAGAGTTCCGGCTTTGGGATAAAATTATTTCTAAGTATTTGACATCTATATTACGCAGACTCAGTTACGGGTACGTCTTCGATGCGGGTGTAGGTATCCGGTTCGGTAGGTGCTGATTTTATTAGAATAATTAAAGAATACGCATGAACAATCCATGCCGTACACACTCAACAGGGGTGCTTCTAGGTCAAAAATCTCGTAACATAGTCTGATATGTAGCAGTTGAAAACCACAATCCTGCTGGTTCTCCTGTCATTTCAGGTCTACTGGGGTGCTCATTTCTCCGCAGACGAATAAGAGGGAACAAGCTAAGATTTTTAATCTCCACCATGGTTTAGGAACTTTGTGAGTCAGGAAGAAGCAGTACTACAAAATACTTGTTCATGTCATGCATCATCTGCCACATTAATGGAAACATGATCTTCAAGACTAAGAAGAGATAGATTTTTCTCAAGATAAGTCACTCATCCCCATAGGAGTCCACTCGCCAACTGATAGAAGTTGTCAGCTTTATGGCGCGTGTCTAGTTCCTGCCAGTGCATTTTTAGCCATTTCTGAATTCATTTCTTTGTTGGACAAGATTATTTGTATGGAGTGCTTTTTACGTATTAATTTGGTCTTAAAACTGATCTGCATTATTGCTATCGTATTCTATCTTGAATTTTCCAAGAGTGGAATTTGCCCCTTTCTGCTTTCTGTTACCCTTGATTCTCTAATTTTTCAGGAACTACAGCTTCGGAGGCACACTATAATTTTGCTAGCTTTCTTAGCATCATCAGGAAAATGTGGTGTTGAGATTCTGTTAAATTATAGGCTTCCAAAAGGAAAGGATTTATTTGCAATTATTTTGCAAAGCTTCGTTCGCGATTTGGATCTAGAAGAATCGGATACTGCTCAGCAGGCTGAAGTATTCAAAGAGAGGTATCTTTGGGCATTTAAATGTGTGTTTGAGGTGTATTTTAGTCTTAAAAACATGCATGAAATGGAGTTGCTTTTCACACTCTACTCGTAGCTGCATTGATGTATACTCTATATAGCTGAATATTTCTTCCCATCCACCTTCCTGTGTGCGGAGTCCACCTGAATTCATGGAGTTTCTCATTATTAGTAGTTTTTGTTTTGTCTGTTTCTTTCATTTTCCGGAAAGACCTTGCAGATTCCAAATATATTTTAAATTTGATTTATTTATTTCATGTTCCCAATCTTCTTTTCTATATGTTCCTATTTGGCAGGACCTTGCTGATGCGAGAGGTACTCATACTCTTGAATAGACTAGTCTCACATCCCAAGTACTCCAGTCATGTTCTGCGGGCATTAACAAACAGTCGAGAGAAAGCAACTTTGACTGTTGATATAACAAGCAGAGTATCCAGTAAGCGCAAGTTCTTGTGGCAGGATGTTAGCATGACTCGGCAGATTAGGGAATCCGAAATCATAGATTTAGCTCAGGTGTTGAGAAGAAGAGTTTTCACGTTTCTTGGTGGCAGCAGCTAATGAAAGAGGCATGAAAACTTGATTGATCCTTGCTAGAAGTGCACTCACGCTTGAAGAACGGCTCATGGAAATATTCGAGTTATGGTACTTGACAGGATTGAGCGTGGAGCAAAGTTGCAGCTTCTATGCTGAAACCATCAGCACTGATCTGTTTGAATGGGTTTTTCAGCACAAGCATGCATTTTTCGGTCACCCCACTGTATAAGGTTAGTGTAATTGTAGCATTGTATCAGCTTCTATGTATATATTTTAAATGTATGTTTGTCATTGGCTGAAGAATAATGCTAGCAATCGCATTGAATGTATAATGTTCGTGCTTCGGCGAACTACCTAAACTTGTCATGTTTCAAAGCTCAATTTAATGCACAGATGAAGAAGGATCTACGGTTGAAGTCTTTGTCACACTAACCTGGGATCTACTCGTAATTAACGTGTTTTGGAATATAATGATCTCTGCTCAAAACAGAAATGTAACTCCATTTTGCCTTTGATTGTCAATTGAAAAGACAATTCAATTTTAAGGCCCATTCAGCTTAAAGAATGTTTATTATAATTATCAACGGTGAAAACGGTATCATTACAGATCTCCGTGGGTTATTCATTAGCATCATTACATAATTCACACTTTCTGAATTGCAGCTTTTCAAGCATTCCAACTGCTTTTGTGATCCGAACAAATCTTGTGATGAATTGTCGTACATTTACATCGAGAACCTTTAACAAACACCAAAACAGAACAAAGCCTTTGAAGGAAAGTATATTTAATTTAATGATGCAATTGAACATCCTCAAGGTTGTGTACGTGTTATGAAGATGGTGGTGTATTGTTATGGTTTTAAGGTTTCGATGAAAGATATTTAGCATAAGATCGTGGATAGTCAGTCAGTCATGTTAGCCTCCAGTCACAACTCACAAGTACGTCTTCTTGGATTAAGCTTCTATAGATGAGTTCATTGGGGTACATAGTTTTATCTTTTATGCAACTTAAAGTATCGTTTCTTCCTTGACTTTCATGAATCCTTTTGGAGAAATGCTATAGTTCAAAATGACAATGCTTTAGGTTATTAGACAAAACTTTAACTTGCAAGCCACGTTCACTGCGTACCAATTCCCCAGGCCAAATCAAACAGGTTCGTTCTATAATTGTCTTCCCCCTTAGAGCCAAAACACTACCAATCACCGCAACTCCAGCTCCACCTTCACCTTTTCTTATTTAAGATTTTTCAAATTTGTCTTCTTTAAGCTTGATATTTTAAAAAGGCTTACTAAAAATCATAACTTTTGTTTTCCAGCGAATGTTTGGAAAAAGATGGGCAAATAGCCACTTCTTACATTGCTAATCTATCTATAATAATATAATATAATACTATATTAAAAGTAGGAAGCTCTAAACTAAAAAGTTGAATTACCAAATTACCCTTCTAATAATATACTAACATTTAATAATAATAATAATTAAATAAAAAATTAAAATGTAATTATTTATATTGTGTCTCCTCTAAATAGTTGTGTCCTTTCATATTAGTAAGTAACTTTTCAAACGTATTCCTTCAAATTTGTGTAACCGTTAGAAAGGTTAACAAAAGTGTTGATAAAATTCGAAATTTTCAAAATGCAGGGTGGGTTGGCACTATGAGAATTATGAGTTCAATCAAAGTGGAATGCAACTTTCTTATGTTAAATAATTCAATTTATAAGAACTTTTTCTTTTTATGGTCAATAAAATTTTTATTACCAAGTAACATTCTGTACATACAACTGCACCTGGATTTCATCCAAAGATGTGAAGCAAAAATACTACTAATCACATCCTTAACTACCCGAGTCCACCAAGTTCATAGACTGCACTAAACATGATATTAATTAAGTCTTCCAAGAGCTGTATTTAGTCGGCTTCTCACTGACCCTCTATAGAAGACTTCTCGGATAATCCTCCTGATGATGGTCTCACTGAATTTCTTTACTTATACAAGCAATATTTATATTCTGCGCATATCAATACTTATTGTATTGTTTGAAGAAGCAAAATGAACAAACTGTCATGGTATTGGGCAATATAAAGTATTCTATGCTCACATATTATTACCAAGAAAATGAAGTAATGTGGGCTAATTTTAATAAATCCAGAAGATAGCTACCGAAACAAGTCAAACAAAAAAACAGCGAAGAAATCTTTTGAAGAAAAAAGCATACAAAGAGAGCAATTGCCATTATTACGATGAAATTATGGCAAAAACTGAAAAATATATAAAAGTATTTTAAAATATTATAAAAATTTTACATACTGTTATATAAATAATTATAAAATTTGTTACTCTATATAATTTGTCGATTTGGTTCATTTTAGTTAAATTTTGTTGAATCAAACCAAATCAAATAGTGGTAGCTTTTCAAAATTAAAAACCAAAACAAGTCAAAAATATATGATGGATTATTGAAGTGGTTTGGATAGATTTTTTGTTTAGATCAATTTTTCAATTGACTTTGAACACTCTTATCTTGAAGAAGTATTAGGTGGGATACACGTCATTACATGCATGTTTGTATCTCATAAAATCAAAATAATTATGTGTTTGTATCTCATAAAATTAAAATAAATATAAAGATTACATGTATCGGATTAGATTTTGATTGTCCATCTTCGTAGATTTAGATATACAAGTTATATACTACAATGATCAATATTGTTCATCCATAAAAATTTGTATTTTATTCTTTCATGTATACTTATTTACTCAAAAATTTGTTTTGAGTAATACTAATATTATTTTGCAAAATTATATAATACATGATTCGATATACACGTGCAACGCACGTGACGAGAAACTAATATTATTATAAAAGTGGGAAGCCTTAAACTAAAAAGTTGAAAGACTAAATTACCCTTTTAATATGTATATTTATGTATAATAATAGATAAATAATTATGTTACAATTCAAAAGAGCCAAATTTCGAAAAGCACCATATAGAGTAACCATGCATATAGAGAGAAATGTCTGATACAAAACAACGCAAGCACCGTTTGCAAAAGGCTTCGAAGACATTTCCTTGTAAGTGCCCACTGAGAACTTCCAATGGAATAAGTCAATTTTGTCAAGCCACCACTTCGTGAAAAGATAAAATAAAAAAATGTTTGAAGCCAAATGACTTGCTCCATTCATACCAACACTTAGCCCCTAAAGCCTACAAAATAAATAGAGGTAGTAATAGTTCAAACAGAATTTGAAGCAAATCAAGGTTGTGTTTCCATTGGCTGAATATTATGATTTATGAACTTCCATAAGCAAATTGCTGAGAAATTACCATTAACCACTATTTGAAATGCTTAAGTACAACGATTTTAAATATTAAACAATAACAAGAATGGTGAATAGAAAGCAGGGAATTAATCGATAGAAGAAATTCCCTCATTGCTTCTTTCACACTATTTTGCCAAGAAATCTGCTTAGTCACACAATCACTTGGAGAGATTGGAAGAACTTGATGTGGAAACAAAAATCAGGTTTATTTTTCTGACTCAACTTTTTTATTTTATTATTGTTTCAATTTGAAAATCAATCTTCAATTTGAGATGCACGAAGTATTCACCTTCTTCAATTTAATTATGATACTGATGGATACTTTCATAATGACTTTTATATCTCTTAGTATTTTTGTGGAGTCAAAAATGTCTAACTGATATTTTAATTAGAGTATCTCCTAAAAAGATTTACGGTTTTAGTGAAAAAAAAAAAAAGCAAATAGACATAATTAATGAAATACATTAGTACTGTGTTTTGCTGAAGTTTGTAAAAAATTAACACTTTGGCTCAAATAGAAAATTCTATCCCTATATTTTACGTAATAAAATAGTACCTTAAATCAATAATAATAATAATAATAATAATAATAATAATAATAATAATAATAATAATAATAATAATAATAATAATAATAATACCTTAAACAAAATATATCCCAATTTTGTTTTAATTTGATTTTTGATCGAGGAAGCATCATAAGAAGATATTATTTCAAATGATTTAGTATGAATAAAATCAAATTATTATATTTTCCTCTGATATTTTGTAGATATGAGTCCTTACTCTATTACTTTTCTTTACACTACTAATATACTTATTTTAAAGAGAAAATGACATTGTATAGCCGTTCTTAAAATAATAGCCGAAATGTATGTATATNAAATATATAAATTGTATATACTTTTGCGACTATCGAATGTAAATAGATTTGGCTACGGGCTAAAAGTGATCTTTGCCCTATTCTAAACAATACAAATGAAAACAGAAAAAGTGATCCGCAACTGAGTTCATAAATTGCTTCGGACGAACAATTTCATTATTTGCCAAACAAATTTGTTGGCATTCTTAATAATGTAAATATAGTCAAAGTAAGATTATTATAGTTAGTTAATTTCAAGTCCAAAGTATTTGGAAACGTAACATAAAAGATATTATGGTTATGTTACATAATTTTTGTATAAGATTGACATGAAAACACAATAGTGTAATTTGATTGTATCGCATGTCTGTAAAATTCATAGAGAAATATTTTCGGTGTATAAATTTAATATCAATAATTAACGGGACACGTTTCGAAAAACTAGTATATTTAAAACATGAAGCTCCTAAGTTAGAAAGTCAAATTACTTAATTGCCCTTTTAAAACCTAAAAGTACCAATTTTACCAACAAAAAAAAAAAAGGATCGCAACCTTAGCCAATGGACGCACGGCAAAACTAAAAGACAAAACGCTTAAGCCTACAAAGAACTCCCGGCTACCCAATGGTTCAGATTGAAAAAATTGACATGGTTCTGATTGAAGTTGTTCCTCCATGCCTTATTTTTCTTCTCACCAAGTCAATATTTTTGGGGTTTTAAACTAAAACTTCAAAACAAACTTTAGGTAAGTGATTATATTTTCTTTGTGCTCAGTTTTCTAAAGAAAGATTGTGCCGTCTTCCTTCTTCTAATTCAGTTTGAGATGTTTGAGTTCTATCTTTTAGAAGTTAAATATATGTACATGCATGGGTGTGCATGTATATATATATATATATATTGATTTATTTTTTCTTTTGAGTGGGTACCTGGATTGAGATGAGAAGTTACTATCAATTAGGTTTCTAATGGTTCAACCATTGTATTATAAGCAACACTCTTCCTAAACTATTTTTGTATATATGATGGTCTGGAGTATGAAATAACCGCAACTTATTCTTGCTATTTGGTGTTTTATAAATTGTTTAACACAACATGAATTTGCAGAAGATTGATTAATGTAGTTTTCTTTCCTGATTAGTAGTCATTCTTTTGTTATGATGTGCTTGATTCTTCCTTTTAGCTTTGGAAAAACGGTTGCAATGGGGGAGATGAAATCAATGGCTCACCAATACATTTAATTGTAGATATTTAGGGGCAAGGTTATATAAATAGTGGTATTCTGAATGAAAAATAATTAGAAAAATGTCAAACATTTCGTAGAACTACTTTATGCTTTGTATTATGACCGTCTATACATCTCAATTATTACTGAAATGTTGTTTCAATTACTGGATTTCAATTGCCAACGGATAGCTGCAAAAACAATTACGGCTTCATCACTGAGTGTTGTTTGTAGTTCTTTTTGGCTAAAGACTTGTATAAAATAAAATATATTTGATAATCTTGAGATTGGAGGCATAACTCTTGACCCATAATTTTTTTAAATGTGTTTTGCCTAATTGTTCTTTGTAATTTTTTTAGACAGCAGTTGTAGGCATGATATTTAGTGATAGTGCTTCGATTCTGAGACTATGTTGTAGTAACTTAATTAAGACGTGTTAAGTCTAATTCCATTTAAGAGATGGATCATAAGTTTGTGTCATGCAGGTTGTGGTTCTACAATAGAAAATTCGAGGATAGCATCACGGAGTTTGCGATTCTACAATTAAGAGTTAAAAGATATCGTTGTGGAGTTTGTGGTTCTACAATTAGGAGCTCAAGGGTAGTGTCATGGAGTTGTGGTTCTACAATTGGGAAGTCAAGGATAGTGTCATCAAGTTCGTGGATCTATAATTGAGAACTAAGGATAGTATCATGAAATTTGTAATTGAGCATTCATTTTTTTATTTTTTTATAATAAACACGAAACAACTTTATTAATTCTGAAATAAAATATCATTACACGAGGAGTTGGTAAATCTAAACTAAGCAACTCCTAAATCAACTGTTGGGGAACACCTTCCAGTGGAGTATAAAGTAAGGTACTTCAAAGTAAAAGGTTGAGGAAGGTATTAATCCTTCCAGATAAACAAAAGCAATGACGAAAATGGTTAAACGACGAAGGAGTTCTTTCTCGTCCTAATTCTGAAGTTGACTAACTGATTTTTGTCATTGTTCAAAGCAGCTATTACCTTCATAGGTAAAATGTCAGTGCCCGTAAAGAAAATGAAGTTGCCTTTTTGCCTTAACTCTCTAATATGTTCTACCAAGAGAGCAATCTGCCAAGGTGTTCCAGCATGAATGTTTATAGCATATTGATTAAGACTAGGGAATCAGATTCAATTTTGACCTCCTTGTATCCATTGACAATGCACCACTCTAAGTTCAGCCATATTATTAGTGCATGAATCAAAGAAAATGGAGTAAGCTATAATTAGATCCCCATTGTGATTTCTCAAGCATCATATTCCACCTGCTAAGCCTAGATTTCCTTTGCTACATCCATCAGTGTTAAGCTTTAGGTAACCATCAGGTGGTTTAATCCATTTGACATGGATAACCTTTAGTAAAGGTTTGCATCTTTCACAGCATGGATCAAAAGTTTCTTAACAGAAGCTTTACCATTTCCATATCTGATAGCACATCTTTGTTTCCAAATTTCCCAACATATTAAGCATGGGAGGCAGTGAAGTAAAAAAGAGTGAACATTGTTCTTGGGCTTTGTAAACCACCAGTTGGAAAGAGTTTGTCTTAATCTGTTGGTAGTTTTCAAACCACCAAACAAGTCCCAAGCAGCTGATGCACCATCGCTGCTAATGAAAACATGCTCAATGGTTTCATATTTAGGAGCTTTACAACAAGAACACATAGATGGGCCAACAAACCCAAAATTTCTATTGATCTCATCAATAGGCAATCTGTTATGAATTACTCTCATCATAAAGAAAGATATTTTGAAAGGGATCCTTTTATACCAAATATTACTAGTAGAGTAGGTAACATTTCCAGATTGCTTGAAAAGATGCCACGCAGATTTACAGGAAAATGAACCATCATTGGTAATGGTCCATATAGGCTGATATAGTTTAGAGCCATCAGGAACCTTAATCAGAGAGATATTCCTAGCAATGGAACTAGGAAGAACATTCTCAAGAGCAGCAAGGTTCCAGTGACCTTCATGAATGAAGTCCATAACTGTCTCATTTCCTTTATTAGGGTCATTTATAAACTTGGCTAAGGAGCCATATTCTGACCAATTATCCCACCAGAACGAGGCCCTTCCATTAAAAAGTCTCCACTTAATATGTTTCTCAGCCTCAATCTTGATATCCATCATTCTTTTCCAAATATGGGAATGACCAGGTTTCCATAAAGAAGCAACAGGATGTATACTATTACAGTACTTGGCTTCAATAAAATCCCTCCATAGAGAGTTTTTGGTTCTAAGGACCCACCATGACTTAGCTGCAAAGGCCTTGTCTATGTCATGGATGGACCTAAAACCAGCTCCTCCTCCATTTTTATCAAAGCACATAGAGGACCAAGAGATCCAGTGATGTTTTTTACCTTCTTCTGAATTGCCCCAGAAAAAGTTACAACACTGCTTTTCAATAATTTGGAGTGTGGTTTTGGGGGGGTTAGTAGCTGCAAGGATGTGCATGGGTATGGAATATAGGACTGCCTTAATAAGGATAGCTTTACCTCCAAAGGACATAAATCTTCCATTCCAACCTTGAATTCTTCTACCCACTTTATCAGAAAGATCACTGAAGAATTCAATTTTCTTTCTTCCTAAGTAGATAGGGGCACCAAGGTAAGTAAATGGGAAGTTCTTGTTGGAGAAACCAGTGAGAGTTTTTATACGTTGTACTTGATTATCCTGTGCATTAGGATGTAAGAAAAAATGAGATTTGCTAAGGTTAATTAGTTGCCCAGATGTATTGGAGTAATCATCTAAGCATTGATTGATGATCTCAATAGAAGTAGTGTCAGTAGAGCTGAATAAAATAGTATCATCAACATAAGTTAAATGAGTGATACAAGGACCTTGTTTCCTCATCTTGTAAGGTATAAAGTCTTGGCATTGAGTAATCCCATTAAGCATTCTGGAGAGTAGTTCAGAGGTTAAGACAAATAGAGAAGGAGAGATGGGATCTCCGTGTCTTAATCCTCACATCTATTTCCATTTATGGCAATAGAATACCAGATATTAGAGATTAGTCTAAACACTAGACTAATCCATAATTCATTGAAGCCCAATCATCTCATAACTTGAAATAGAAAGGCCCATGATACTCTATTATAGGCCTTTGACATGTCTAATTTAATGATAACATTGTCACCTCTATTATCCCTGCTCATATTATGAGCAAGTTCTTGAGTAAGCTGTGATAAACCTGCCCTAAATAAAGCCAGACTGATTGGGAGAAATCAGTCTTGGCAAAATCTTGGCCAGTGTATTGTTCAAAAGTTTAGAGATAATTTTTGAGGTCACATTAGCAAGGCTAATGGGCCTAAGATCAGAAAGTGACTCAGGATGATCCATCTTAAGAATTAGAATAAGGCAAGTATGGGTGATAAACCTAGATAATTCATGACCTGCAAAGAAGTATAGAACAAGGTTAATTAAGTCTGAAGCAATAATGTCCCATGAATTCTGGAAGAATAAAGCAGTGATATTCTAAACCAAAGAGGGGAGTGGTCGGAATTAACTCTTGGTAGGTGAGTTACTGAAGAATTGGAGTAGTTAGAAGCCTATCATTACACCCTATCAATTCTCTTCCAAATTCTCCTATCTGGAGCCCAATCATTACACCAAGTGAATTTCTCATGTCCAGAATGCGGAAGGGCAGTTGAAATCTCCACCATTATAATACAATCAATATCTTCCTGAAACACATGATCCATATCTTCCTTATACAGCATTCATATTAATTATCAAACTTCCTCAAACAGTCCATGTATACATGTATCTACTTTCCTAATACTACTATATAGTCGATCAAGCAAGGGCCATATATCAAATAAATACTATAATATCTTTTCCAACTGTAGTCTCATCATACAAACTTTTTAATCTGATCATCCAAAAGTGACTAGCCTGCCTAATTTGTAATTACCAAATTTCTCCATACGACATCTAAAAAGAAGTATTAGTCAAGCAAAGGACTAAATAAACACTAGCACGTAATACCTGAGTTGAGAGGGAAAACTGCAGGTTTGTGCTACGCTTTGAAACTTTTTCTAAGTAATTAATATTTACGACCCCCCCCCCCCCCCCCCCCCCCCGGGAATCTTTTCTTGTTAATATTGCAAAATATCTCATTTTCCAATATTTTTCCACCTTTTGCCAAGTGAAGTAATTTGGAAGGTGTAATCATACATCACTTAAAAAAGCAAATAATAATAATAATAATAATAATAAGCGTATTACTACATTTGGATCCTTAAAAAAAAAAAAATCTAAGCCAACTGTATGATGAAAACGAGTACATGAAAAGAATATTAAGGTACAAAAACACAATATTTCAAACTCATTATCTATGACAGGTTGAAGCGCCAATACATGAGCAAATATCTGTGAGATATCTCTAGCATTCTTCCCATAGTAATCCACTTCTCCATGTATCCGCCAAATGATTGCACGGAATGTCAGAATGATGAAGGGAGGAACTAATTCAATGGAGTTGTGCTGCTGCAACTCAATGACAAATTGGTAAAGATGATATTGCTTCTCAATCTTCCTCATCAGAATTGTCAAATTTAATTTTTGTAGCCTTTGGAGCATTTGCATCTATTTCTCTAAAATGAGCACCATAGAGCTTTGATTCCTGCAAACAGCAACTCAACAATGTAACAAAAAATATGTGCACTAGAGATTAGCAATACAAGGCAAGGGGAGAGTGGAGAAAAAGATTTAGTTGACCAGTTACTATTCGCATGTGTCAGCAAATTATATTCTTTGTTATAATCATTTGTTCATCACTTTTCACATAGACAAATTGTGCCAGCAAGAAGATAGTCGAACACAAATGTGATTCAGTGACATTGTATTCTTCCGGAGGTGATAGTAAACGATAATAACATAAGATCCAGGGCTTCCTCCTGCCCAAGGTCGATAACACACCATCCTCCTCTTCTTTTTCTTTTTGGATAAGTCACACCATGATTTTTCTTTTTCTGCCGATTCCATTTGCAACCAGAGCACATTGTAGATACAACTTCATTTTTATTATATCAGGAACTAGCCTATTCCTATGTTCAGTTCCTCATTTAATTGGGAAAAGGGCTGATCTTGAGTGTTCTCTAGTTCATCTACAACTACACTGCTTGTTGCCCTTCCACTCCCTGGAAAGAGTTCCTTCAAAATAGTTTCATTTTCCAGTAATCAAAGTGCGGAAACCTTCATAGCCCCCCTTAGAAAGCCCCTGCTCTTTCTTGGCTCAATCCAAGTACACATCTAAGATGTTTAAAGTAGATTGTCCAATATAAATCCATTCTCTTAAAAATTCTCAATCCTACAAGCTCCCCACAAGGAGACCAAGGTTCGAACCCCAGGAGACTGACACTAGATGAATTTTTCCCATCTGTCTCAGCCATGGAAGAAGAGTTGCCCAATACTTGTATACAATACTGTCAGGATTGCATAACTAACAACGCATGAAACACAAGACGCTCCATCAAAGTGAGGAAACAATTGAAGGGACAGAATTACCAAGTGAACCACAGGAAAACGAAATGAAGCGAATTTGGGAGAACACACTTGCATCCAAATCCCCAAGCATCACACTTAATGAAGAGCCTCTGTCATATCAAATAGTTTCAGGTGCCGTTCACCATGACTTTTTTTCTCTTTTTGGACAAGTCACCTTCAGCATTGTTTTTCCTTTTTTTCTCTTTTTGGACAAGTCACCTTCAGCACTAAGTTGCTCCGACATGACAGTTTAGGTGCCGCACCCGTGTCGACATGACACTAGTATGGGTGTGGGTATGGGATCCGTACCGGATCTGGTCAAATTATTTTGGATACTTTGACCACGACGGACGAAAAAATTTGAGACGATATACAATTTAATTCCCGAAATCAAAACCAAAATTAGGATAAATTTAAATAAAATAGCATACCTTATCTAGGAAATCAATCCTTTTCTTATCTACAACTTGAGAATAAAAACGAAATTAACACTTTACAAGCTATACATAAGTATTCTCCAAAATTTATCATAATTTAGAAATATTTTTTATATTTTTATTTTTTGAATTATTTTTAGCCGGATCCTTGTACCCGTATCCGTACTAGGATCCGTATCCACGAATCTTAGAATTTACATCTCGAAGGATCCGACCTCTAGATCCGCATTCATGTCGGACACCTACACCCGTGTCCGAGCAACTTAGCTTCAGCATGACTGCTATGACCCTTCACCCCAAAACCCTTCCTAGTGTGTATCCTTAGCAATAAAATATAGTTTATTCCAACACTAGAACATGTTAACTTTCTCATCTGAAATCTTCAACCCCTACAGGAAGTACTTTCCTACAACCGTCCCCATAGCACAAACATACTCAGCCACATGAAGTTCGCATCATCTGTCTATGCTCTAGAAGAAGACAATCTTACTCAAAGCCCTCTTAAGCCATGGCCACTGAATCCAACCAAAGGTGCTAATAGTGGAAGGAAAGCTACAACTTGAGGCCCTAGCTTCACACCAGACCAGCATGTCCCTATGAACCTGGCCTAAAGCTCCATGAGCAGGTACTGCTAAGCAACTTAGCAATGCACACTCACTTGTGATGGCTACCCATAAGCACAAACCGTCAATGATACCATTAGGTAAATGGTGACGCTACTCACAATATACAAACAAAAATCTTACCTTTTTCTTTACATGGGTTCCAAAATTAAGAAGGGCAGCTGGAACAACCTGTCCAGCTTCTCTGAGGACATTTATCAACTCCCCAGAAAGTCCCTATGAAATACAAGCTCAATAAGAATCAAAATAGAAAAGCAGTGGAGAAAACAGTACAAAAATAAAGGTCGGACTTCTGTTATAGAAAATCAATGAAACACTACCTTGTTGTCCTTAGTGAAGAATGTATGAGCTACACCTTTTTTACCAGCCCGTCCAGTTCTTCCAATTCTATGAACATAATCCTCTGTCGTCAAAGGAAAACTATAATTTATCACAACTTCAACATCCGGGATATCTAGACCTCGAGCAGCTACATCAGTAGCTATCTGCAGAAACATAACAATTATGTTTCAGTCTTCAGAACATTTCAACATTCGCCAAGAACCAAGTAAACACTAAGCTCATGAGCAGTCGGTCCAAATTATGATTTCTAGCAACACCAGAGCAACATAACTAGAAGTCACAGAAAGTTTCAGGAAGAGGATCATGCAGGAATGAGGAAGAAATGAAATATAGCAAGATATTTTGATGGATAAAAAATATTATGCATCCTCTTCTTTTGGGATGGAAGAGAATTGGCCAGAAACCAGTTATCCCAAAGGTTCAGTAGAGGAACACCAGCTGGTATGTCAAACTACTGTGGAGCCCTTGCATTATCAAATGGTTATCAATTAACGAATAGGTGAAAACTCAGACCAACAACAGCAATTTCATGAGGAAGCATGCTCCAAAAGATGAGGCAGTATATTTGTCTGGATGAAGATTTTGGTAAGAAATTGGTCATCTAGATATAAACTCTGACTCTAATGCAGAAGCAGATAGTAGATGACCATAAGGTGAGACGTGTAGAAAATATTGACAGATGTGGAGTACCATCATGCATCATAGGATCACTCAGATAAACATCACAGTAGATCAGATATCAAATGTAGGATAGAAAATGGAAATAGTTCAAAGCTTCAAGAGATCTTGGGTCAATATAGGTGATAATGAAGAGAAAGCAAGCGATTTAACCACGACATTTGAAAAAACAAACTTATAAAAGGATGAAGGGGGCAAACCAACCATCAGAATTAAGGGAGTAAACTGATGTAAATTTGGATAACAAAAAAGAAACCCAAAAATACAGCAATTGTGCTTCCTAAACTTTGATTAAGTATTTGTATCAATGGTTATAGTTAAGAGCATCAAACGCATACAAGGGTTCTTTTTGACTTAAAGCTCATTTTCTTCGGTTTCTTATTTGCTTGATTAGTAGGTCGTATATGATTGCATCCTCTAAAGATGCTCCATAGTTCTCTACCTATCAATTGATAATAGGGAAGAAATGTGTACCATTAAAGGACAGCTTCCATCCTTAAAGAGTGACAACGCCTTAGTACGAGCATGTTGTTGCTTGTCACCGCTAATGGACACAACTTTCCAACCCCTGAAGCAAAGACACATTAAAGATTCAAAAAAGATGTAATCTAGACACATCTATGCAGCACAATACGATGAGCATGGACTATATTGCATGCATCAATTTTTGTAAGTGTCAAACTATTTCATGCATGTATTATCAGCAGGCGATTTGAAGCTAGGCATAGGAACTTAATGTCTTTCTCATAATTAAACAGAAGACAAATGGAATGACCTTTTCTGTAGCATAATTTCAACCCGAGATGCTTCCTTCTTGTACAAAACAAAAACCAATACTCTGTTCCTGCTCAAAGTTGACAATTTTTTGTAAGCATCCATTTTAATGAGTTAGAAAACATAATACCCAGGTTAACTGCCAAAACAGATACAAGTGATGCAACCACTAGCAAAAATATACTGATGATAAAGAACTGTATAACAAACCAAACCCACGAAGAAAAATTGTGCCAGACAAATTCTTTTTGCGTAATGAAGAAACTTTATTACCATTTGAGGTAGTATGTGCAGTTCTAAAAATGAAAAATCCTACCACTGGACATGAGGCCCCAGTGATAGAGTAAACTAACAGCAACTACTTCATCGCAGGTCTCCATACTACATATGCTCCTCAATTAGGATAGAAATTTACACTTGGCTAGCTTAGATCTTAGGCAGCCCCTAAAGAGCACATCTTGAATAATCAGCTTCACCATTGTTATGTGTCAGACAATTCAGACTGAAGAACTAGAGGAAAATGATACAATGAAAATCTTAGTAAAATAAAACGAATTCATCAAAAAAAAATTAGAAGAGAGGGAGAAGAGGGGAGGAGGGGGAAGGGGGGGATGCACTTTTCCTTGGTTTGAGAAACCTACTACCTCCATGTAGAAAAACGGAATCAATATTTTTAGATTACCCCCTCGCCTAGTCAACCATTTAAATAAACCGACGGCAATACCACTGTATTTAGACCAAATTAGCCAGCACGCATGAGCAGACTAATCTGTAGCAACCTTATTCTCAAGTCTCAACAGACACTCCTATCTTTCTCCATCATTTCCAAAATATCTACCCAATCTCTCTTCTCCACACCATTGCTCACGGTTTAAAGCTAAGATAAGTTCAACTTGCCTTGGACATGCACCACTAGCTATCCTATAGTCACCAGAAGTTTTACCATGACCATTACTGTCAAGCATGCAAGTTCCCTATTAAACACTCTAACGAATTGAATGCAACTCTTGGTAATATAACTGAACAAAGAAGTTGAATGCCAGGCACGTTCACTAAGACTGGTCACTGAAGTAAAAAGGATTCAAAGCATTGATTGTAACCTTTGGTTGTATCCACGGAGTAACAAGAGATTGAGTGAAAAATTCTCAACCAAAACTACTACCCATCATAACCAGTGTTGACTAGCAGTAGCATATTGCATGAATATCATTATCAATTGATTAGAGTGGGGTTTATCATTGATGTCAACAAGATACAATAAGTGCTCTCTTGAAAACTGGAAGGGAGATCAGATATTTAGCAGTAGAGATTTCTAGTTTATATACTTTCTAGACTTGTGGTATTTTTCCAGCAAGCACTGTAAACGCTCATCACGGGCTCTATCTTCCAAGACCTACAATGCAAAAGGAATGGACAAGTAATTCAATCAAAAGAAATGGAGATGATCATGTAAGTCTTCTCTTTTATTGTTCTTTGCATTTTTATTTGTGGTGGATTGGCTTGAAGGGAGGATACAAAATGTTGTTCATATGAGTTAGAGAAAAAAAACTGCAGATTTAAGAATTATTCTAAAAGCTTGATGATGCAGCTTACCTCGACAATTTGCATGACATCGTGGTTGGCAGCCAAATCTTCTGAACCTACAACTACCTGAATAGAATTCAATTTTAAGTCAGAAAGGGAACCGCAACAAATTTGTAACTATATCCCAAAGAGGTGAATCAGACCTTGATTGGATGAGGATCCATGAATTCTTGAGCTAATTGATGAACAGCCGGAGGCCATGTAGCACTGAACATAACCGATTGTCGAACTGCACAATTAGAGGGAAGTTGAATGTGTTCAGGAAAAAAAGTAAGTCTACTAAATTGAAACTCAATCTAGCTAACATCTAAATGGCAAAAACAAGGAGTGAAGCCCTACGATGTAACATGGAAGGACAAGGATAGCAGTCAAAAATACAAGTCCTAATACTCTAAGTTGCGCAGACTTCACTTTTGGTGTCGCACCTGTGTTGACACGATGTGGGTGTGGGTGTGGGTGTGGGTGTGGGTGTGGGTACGGGATCCGTACCGGATTTGGTCAACCGATTTTGGGTACTTTGAACAAAATCGACGGAGAAATTCAGGATAAATACAATGATTTTTTAAATCAAAACAAAAGCTAAACTGAAATTGGAAAAAAAGGAATATTCCGAATATAGAAATTTCTATGTCCGTCCTTTCTGTTTATCTCCTTTTGGGATTCTACTCTTGATTAATATTTTTGTCCTCTTGGAATTCCTTGTAAGTTTTTCACATAATGTCTCATAACTTAGAATATATTTTTATTACTCTAATTTTAGATATTTGAATTATTTTTAGCCGAATCCCCGCACCCGTGGATCCGTACCCCTAAATCTTAAAATTTAGATTATGAAGGATCCGACCTCTAGATGTATCGGACACCTGCACCCGAGTCCGAGAAACTTAGATAATACTTACACGATTCAAATTTTCAAAATCCCTTTTCAATTGATATTAAAAATATTTGTAGACATACAGAAGAAATGAAACCAAAAATCCACTCTAACATATAGCTGCACTTCATTTACAAAAGTATTGAAATGAAACCACAAATTACATGGTCGGGACAAATATATGTTTATGAAGAAAAAAAAGTTGATACTTGGAGTAAATACAATAAGTTGTGAAGGACAATCAGATGCAAAAGTTTTGCTAAAAAGAAACAAAAAATATATTACGACATGATAAATGTATTTAAAGAAATAATGCATTTAAAGAAATGCCTACAGAGCTCCAGCCTCTAGGAATTCAAGAAATGGAATCAAATGCAGATGTTATTCATACCAGAGCATGTTTGGCTCAAAATGGCACGGACAGCGGGTTCAAAACCTAAATCGAGCATCCGATCAGCTTCATCTAGCACCTATAGCAATATTAGTAACATGAATAAACGCTAAAACTTCTAGTGTCAGCAACCATAATATTTCATTAACCCAACAAGGATAAACTCTATCTTAACCAATCAAGGGATAGTACATAAAACTGATTAGAATGTTAAACCACAAAAGATTATTTTAAAAAATAAATTCAGTTTTTCTTTCAAAGAAGACCAACATGCACAGATACCTCACCTCAGAAAGCTCATATTCAGCAACTTCAAAAGTCTAACTAATTAGAAAAATCAAATAAAAAACATTTCTTATACACATTTGATGGCCACAACTACAGAACAGAAGCATCCTAACCATCTAGACCTAACTGAGCAAACAAACAAACCTTCATGAAGTCGTGCATACTCAAACTTCATCAAAGATCCTGAAAGTCCCAAACCCAGATAAATGGAGGACAGTAAAACACTACTCACCACAAAAGAAACCTCTTTTAAGTTGCATGCTCCCATTTCCATCATATCCTGCAAACGACCAGGGGTTCCAATAACAATATCCTGCAAGGCGGAGAATATGATCTGACGTACTGACAAGCAACTCCAGCTCAAAGAATCAAAGGTGTGTGAAGCATGCATAACATCCATCAAAAAGTCAAAGAAAGCAACAAAATAAAACATTAAATGGACTTAAAAGATAATTCACTATAGGATATCTGAAAAGGTTCATCATCTCGAGACTTATTGCAACAATAAATACAGATACAGAAATAAGAATGTTCTTACCACACCAGATTTAAGAGAAGCTTTTTGATGATGCTTATCGACTCCACCATATAGACAAACTGACTGCACGCCAGTAGGCTTCCCAGCATCGCAGAGAACATCTGATATCTGTTATGATGACATATAGCAAGATCTTTCAGATAAGGTGCATTTACTCGCATCAGCATTTTTTTATTTGAGAATACAAGGCAAAATACACATATTATTTTAACAAGAAAAAGAAAATGCAGGATTTAGAAGATATTTTAGTCAGAACTAAAAGACATCTAGGAATAAAACCAACATAAATTAGACCTTTACTGCACCTCCATTATGCATAATATGTGCTTCCACACTACCTAACCTTCTCTTATAGAGCTCATGTATCTCAATCAACACAAACTTGCTACTTCATTCTTCAATCCATGTCTCTTCAATGAACGCCTAAGAATCATAGCTTCTTGAAACAAGAACAGAAGGGAAGGAAAAGAAAACACACTTATAATAGAGGATCTCCTAGTCTTAGCTAGCTTACTAGAAGGAAGGGAGTGCTAAACCCTCACAAGATGATACCCTATTTTTATCCGTCCCTCACAAGATAATACCTTTCTGGGTCTTTTGGCTATGATCAAGTGCTAAACCCTCACAAGAAATTGAAAAACATAGATGATTTTTACGGCCTACGTTCCAATATTTTAGCAGTTCTCCAAGGAACGCAAAAAAAAACTTTCTCAAAGCTTAATCAAAAATGAAATGAAATGGCTTTTTATCAAATTTTGATTCAATACATTGACATTATATAAAATAAATAGAATGATGTAGAGATGGACCTGATGATGATATTGAAAAGAAGCACTTCAAAACAGCAAGAAACTCCAACCACCACTAGAGCTTTCAAACAAAAATTATATACCCTAATTTTTTTTCCCCACTATTTGTGAAGTTGAAAACAAAAAATATACAAGATTTTGTCTATGGTTTTGGGATGGACGATTTCCAATAAAAGAGTACAGTTAATGAAAATTTCTAGTGAATGATTTGTTTGTATCTGAAACCCGTACTCTACTCTTTTATTACCATATAAAACAACGAACCTAGGACATTTAATACCATATAGTTACTATAAAATAAAATATATCTAGGCAGCTCACAAAGATTATTGTGATATATGATTGGACAAGATTTCATTGGAGGTTGAGATTGAAGCATCTACTAAATTACGCATTCTCCAATTTCACCCTTTTAAGTTTTAGTAATACGAATTGTTAGAGTTTTCTTGCTGTTTTGGAGTGCTTCTTTTCAATATAATCATCAGGTTCATCTCTACTTCACTCTATTTATTTTATATAATATCAATTTACTGAATCAAAATCTGATAAAAGAGCAATTTTAAGACCATTTCAAGGGCCACTTTACTTTGTTTTGATAAAGTTTCGACAAGGTGTTTTGTTGTTAAGCTTAGTTTTATATTTCTGACTGTTTTTATCAACTCTACTTCTATGCTTTTTGTGATATGATAAGAATTGCTTAATAATAAGTTTGGGTTTTTAAACTAGTCATTTAGGGAAGTTGGAATGATTGGGTTTACACTGTGTTGAAAGATGAGCTTCGGCGTGTGTGTTTTGCCATTCTTTATTTTGAAACAGGACTACAAGGTTCAAATTTTAACAAATGACAATATTATTTTAGTAACTGAACCTAATGCAAGAAAGCAGGCAATTTTAAAGACAACTCAAGGTATAAATTTCAAAAACATACTTGTTGAGCTAGCTCCCTTGTAGGCGAAAGCACGAGGCAAAGCGGATTCTTAGACTTTTTACTCTTTCTCTTGCTCAGGACATGCATAATAGCCGGAATACCAAAAGCCAAAGTCTTACCTGATCACACAAAAACAAGACAAAATAAAACTAAAACCCCAAGAACCATACTCCACGATTACACTAAATAACCACAATTGCATACCTGACCCAGTTTTGGCAATTCCAATGAAATCACGGCCATCTAAAAGAAAAGGCCATGAATGTGATTGAATTGGTGATGGTTTCTCAAAATTCTTGCAACAATCTAACACATCACTTGGAAGCCCTGAATCCACAAATTTTGCTAAAGCTTTGTACTTTGACTCATTAGCATCCTTACCAGTTACCACCACATTTGTACTACTTTTTTCAGAAAACTCAGCTGGCCCGTTAAAAGTTTCAACCTTTCCATTAGACCCACTAAGATTTTCACTGTTTACAATAGACCCTTCTTCTTCTTGGTTCTGTTTCTGCTTTCTCTTCTTCTGTTTCTCTTTCTTGGACTCTATAACAGCAACTTCTTCAGGTTCAGGGTCTTCGAGCTTTCTCTTATGTCTTTTCTTATGGGATTTGGATTGAGAACCCTTGAGGGTTTTTTGTGGTTCGTCATCAGCTAACTGTTTTGCTACCATGGCTGCTCAATCTGTTCTATGGCGAATGACGCAAAACCCTAAGGTTTAAGGAAACTAATTGAGTTGTATTTGTAGTAAAGTTTGATAGTTCCAGTTTCCCGAATTCGCCTCTGTTTACAGTGGAATTACAATGAGAAAAACGATCAAAATGGTCCGTCATGTATTGAGATTGGTTCTTTTTAGTCCTCGACATATGTAGATTAACAAATATGGTCCTTGATCTATGAAAAAAGTACACTTTGTTCTTCATTTCTAAAAGTAACGATCTTTCCTCTTTCCCCGTTAAAATTAACTGCTCTTTTCACACGTTCTGCACGTGAGCAATAAGAAATAAAGAAATTCACATAAGTTTAGGACAAAAGAGAAGGGGAAAAGATTTCATTATCTGTTCTTTTGCTCATCGCTTTGCTTCCAAGTCTTAAATTGAGATCGCTCCAATTGAGGAACTATAATAACAAAATCAACAAACTTGTGTAATCCTTACAAATGAAGTTTTAGAGAGACAGTTTGTACGCAGATATTACTCCTGCCTTGCGAAGGTAAAGAGGTTGTTTCCGATAGACCTTCGGTTCAAGTAAAATATAGTCACAATACAGTTTAAAAAGAAATACAGCAAGATAATAAGATAACCGAAGCAAAAGAAAGTAATAGGTAATAATTATAACCTAAGGATAAGAAAATACGAAAATAATACTAAAACTACTGGTATGGCAAAGAGATACACTCGACTACCTACTAACTTTTTACCATAATTCTCGACTTTCACATCTTCCTATCAAGGGTGATGTTCTCGCTAAGATGAAGTTGAGTCATATCCTACCAAATCACCTCTCCCCAATACTTCTTAGGCCTGCCTTTACCTCTCCTTAGACCTATCAAGGTCAACCTCTCGCACCTCCTTACTAGGGCATCTATGCATCTTCTCTTTACATGTCCGAATCATCTCAGTCTCACTTCCCGTATCTTGTTTATCACGGAGGCTACTCCTATTTTGTCCTGAATGTCTCTGCTCCAATTGAGAAGCTGAAACGATAAAATGTGAACCAAAGGAATTGCAAAGCAAATAGCAAAAAGAATGCACTTGCTTACTAGAAAGTTGACCTAGTTGAAATCTCCTAATTATGTTGGAGTCTGAAAACATATTGCAAGTACATGGGTAATATTTAAAAAATTTATTAAACTAAAAATGGGGATAGAAGAAAGATTAAGTTATGGAGAGACACTTGGCTTGAATTGAGACTTGAGCGGATTGATGACTAATCTTGGGCCATAGAGTCGTGTTGACATCGATAGTGAGGTGACGCGCATGCTAGACCCCATATCGGGCTGAGTGGTATTGACAGGCATCTTACCAAGCGCCGTGAGAGTGTTGAGACTATGTCTGAGGGGCACTGTGTGCCTGGCACTTTTAATATGCTGAGATTTTGTATACTTGGTATTTAAACTGTGAAATTTATTGGTATGGCATGTATAACTAACATGCAAGCATAAAGTTATAGTTTTTCTCATGCTAACTAGCATTCGATGTCTCCACTTAATGTTCAGAGCTAGATACTACAGTTTTATCTTGTTAAATACGTGTCTAAGTGACTTCTGTGAAAGTTGATTCCTTGACTATTATATCTGAAAAGGCATGCATATTTCTTCTCTTATTGTATTAAGCTAAGCCTGTTATTATTTGAGCTACTTTTCTCTATATGCTATTGTTCTATTGTTATTGTTGTTGTTGGCTGTGGAAAGTGAGCATCAGGCCTTTCCAAGCTCGTCATTGCTTTTCACCCAAGGTACGTTTTACTACTTATTGAGCATATGGGGTCGGTTGTACTCATACTACACTCTGCACTTCGTGTGCAAATCCAAGTGTTGCTGATAGCAAAATTTGCCATTGAGTTGTATCTGGATTAGCTTGGAGATTTAGAGGTACCATTGCTATTCTGATCACATGCCTTAAAGCCCCTCTCTTTTATCTTATGTTCTTACTGTTCAGTCTCCCAGATAGTATTGTATTTTGTTCAGGCTTTGTATTTAGTATTCTATAGAGCTCATGCACTCGGTGACACCATATATTTTTGGGTGGATTTAAGTTGTAACTACATTTGGACTTCATTTATTTATATTATTTCCGCAACTTGAGATTTATTTCCTATTATTATTGAAGCTTACTTCCGCATATGTGTTGTTGGTTGCCTAGCAAGTGGTGTTAGGCTCCATCACAGCTCCGGTAGAATTTTGGATCATGACAAGTTAGTATTAGAGTACTAGGTTCACATAAGTCTCACGAGTAATGAGCAGGCCTAGTATAGTCTTGCGGATCAGTAAGGAGACATTTGTACTTATTTTCGATAGGCTATAAGACTTTAGGAACTTTCCACTTCTTGATTCCTCTTCGTGCAACTTTATCTCGGCTTGAAGTCTATATCTTCAGTTTTTTCCTATTTATTTTGTACGCAATTTTGAGTACCCGGTATCAGTTGGGCACCAACGAGCTTTGATAATGATACAGACGTGGTGCGAAATGTTGTTACCTTGCGTATGAGGTTATACTACTCTTATCGCTTTGCGGATGAGTTGTCGTCTATTGCAGCCCTAGTGTTAGTATTGCCCACTGGTTTGGGGCTATATGCAATATATTGTGATGATTAACGTGGCGGTCTTGACACGATATTGGTGCAGAATGGTAGGATACTCTGCTTGCAGTAGCGCAGCCCCATGAGGAAGATTTTTCGATTCACAATTTGGAGTTTGGCATTTGTTCCAGAGGAGGAAAGGTATTGGACTATGGATATTCGGGCTTTTATTGATTGAGTTGTGAGATTGGATATTTCTGATTTTAATAGAGTCCTCGCTTGTGTTGTTCCGCAGTCATCCTTGTTTGAGCACACTAAGGATCGTCAATATGATGGTTTCTATTTGCTCGTCCTCGGGGACACGGTGAGCGGGGTAGTGCTAAGGAGATGGCCCTTAGTGTGGATGGTGTGTTGCGATTTTATGGTCAGATTTGTATTCCTAGTATTAATGATTCGAGAGAGATAATCCTTGAGGAGGCTCGTCATTGTGGTATTCTATTTGTCTATGTTACAAAGAGGTATCGTGATTCGAGGCAGTATTATTGGGCAAGTTTCATGGTTGTTGATTGTTATGAGGTCAAGAATGAGCATCAAAGACCGAGTAATTTACTTCAAAAGATGGATATACTGATGTAGAAGTGAGAATATATCATTATGGGTATTGTGGTAGGGTTGCCACGGATTTCGAGGAAGTTTGATGTTATTTAAAGTCATTATGGACCATTGAGGGCATTTCATATTTGTGGCAACTTCTTGCATTTTTAGAGTTCAAATTTGATGAGAAGGGGTTAGCTTGAGCTACTAAGAGATTATGAATGTTTGATTTTCATCTTGGTGTGCATACCGTCCTGTGTTGGGAGGTATTGAAGGGTCTTTTAGTTATTCATTGGTAGGATGAAATAGATTCTTGCAACGTGTGGATGAGTATAGACTCTGGAGGAGTTATTTGTTACATAACGTTGTACCGTGGTAGGTCATAAAGAGACGTTGATATGAGGTCACATGGGTAGTCTATCCCCTATGAGAAGGTTGGGGGCTACTTGATTTCTTATGAGGTTTCTATGAAGAGTTTTGCCTTCTATATGGTGGGATGAATATGCTATGATATGGGTTCAGATCGCTTGAAGAAGATAGCATGACTTTCGAGGTTGAAAGTGTATTGGGTTGATAAGTTGGGATAACAGTGTGGGATCATATCAGTTAAAGAGGAGCAGTCATTATGGGTACATAAATTATGTGATTGTGGCTTAGAGCCAAGTGGAGGAGTCTACCGTCGGTAATTGGGTCACCTAATTATGAGTTGTTATTAATTCTGGATTAAGGGATGTTTGAGGGTTAGATATATTTTTAGGAGAATGACTTCGAGGATGATTCGCACAAGAAATTTTTTGAGTGCGTGTAGTATTTTACCTTGGTGATATATGGAGGTCGTGGGAGGACTCATGTTCAATACTCTTATATAGAGGTAGCGTGCAAAAGAAGGATTTGAGCGGTTATTTTCTTTTAGAAGTATTCATGTGCTAGCGGAGCACTAATCGTTCGGCATGATTGGTTATGTATTCGGGATTAGGATTAAGTGGGTGACTCTCGAGAAGTTTCTGATGGATTCAAGATTCTATATATGGTATCTAAGGATTTTTGAATTTGTGTGTGACTAAGGATTCGAGGTTTTCGTAGGATTGTGGAAGAGACCTGGAGCATTTCTGTATTATTATCGGTTCTGCAAAGCAGTGTCTGAGAGATGGAAAAAATAACTTCAAATTCATAAAATATCTCTTTAGAGCAGGTATTTCGGTTTGAAGTACTATTTGATGTATAAGAGGGAATAAAGTGGCTCACGAGTCTTAGAACGACGAGATTTCATGTTAGGATCACTTGGAATGAGTTTTGATTGAGGTCCATAGTGTATTGGGAAGGAGTAGTATTGCCGTGAAGGCAAGTCATGAGTAATCGGAAGAAGTTGGGTCCGTTTAGCAGTGACTTGGGTCAGCATGGTAATAGAGATGATCAGTTCCTTTGATATTATAGGGCTTTACAGGTGTTTTTGTGGTAATACTATTGAGTTGGTAGTCTTTGTGATTGGGGTGATTTAGACTGATGCAGTTCGGCTGGCTTAGTTATGTGCATGTGGTTTCCGAAGAGTTTGCGATGGTTTTGACCACGGCTTGCGGATTGATGTCTTCTAAAGGCATGGAAATTTGGTTGCGTGCTGTGATTTTCTCCTGGATTGAGCTAAGTAGAAAGTTTCTGATCGAGGGAGTGTGTATCCTATTGGAGATTCATAGTTGGTAATAGGATTCTTATATTTTCGCATATTAGCATGATTGATGCGGTAAGCTGTGTGGAATTGGAATTTAATGGACAAGGTTGCAGTTCAGTTTTGAAAGAAATGTTATGAGTTCTAGGCAGTGTGAGGGCTTTCAGATGTTTAAGAGTATGCTGGCACCATTTCAGTATCGCCTGAGAAGGGTGTGTTTTATGGA